GATGTGTGTTTTGAGGAGAAAAGATGAGGCTTTTAGACCCAAGCACTGTTCCAACAATACTTGTTTCATTAAATTAAGTCATTAAAAATATAAACTGTACAATCAGTCCACAGTGGAAAAAGAACAGTCCATCCATTTGGACTGATCTATTTTCTGCTAGGTCTAGGCTACCCCTGTAACCAAGGTCTCCCTTTACCTGACCACCACCTCTAACTCTTCTGGAAGGAGTATACCCAGACGCTTCCAAGCCAGCTAATCTCTGGGGCATACGTCTCCTTTTGGGCCAGACATGCTTTGGACACCTCCTCTCAGAGCCTTCCAAGAGACCTGAATGCCTGAACAAGCTCAAGTGTCACCTTTCAATGTGGAAGAACAGCGGCTCCACTGCAAGCCCCTCTCAAGTGGCCGAGCTCTTCAGTCTATATGCAAGGCTGAAGCTCTGCTCTGCCATGATTCATGAACAAGATTGTGAGATATTTGAAGCCCCCCACTTGGGGTGGTAATTTATTCCTGTGCAAGAGTGGGCTGAGCAGGGAAAACATTACCTAGGCTGCTTTTGTGCTTATGTTTGACTAATGGTGTATCATCGTATTGCTGTAATGCAAGAATATTCCACTATAATACTGCTACTCCTGGCATCTTGTGGCAGTATATTCACACTGCAAATTACATGGTTGCCATCAATGACAATAGCTCATTGGAAAGAAATGACTAAGCTATCCTTAACTTTGTTTGCAGTAATAAATACTGCTGCCTCGAAACTGCTCTCACAGATGAAGTTCTTTCTTTCTTTTTTGTTTGTTTGTTTGTTTTTTTGACTTGATACAAAAAAACCAACCCCCTAAAAAAAGTTTTTATTCTCAGTTTCAAAATTGCTGTATTTCTACTGTTAAAAATTACATTCAGAACTATAAACAAGACCAGAATTTAATAGAATAATTCACCATTTAGATTTGATTATCCTAAAGCACATGCTCTGTTTTTGCTTGCCATTTAATTATTGTTAAGCAATTAAATTGCAAGCACCCACCAGTATTTTACACTCTTAGTGCAAAACGATGATGGTGCCTTCCTAACGTATAGAAAGCATCTCTGCTTGTGCTTCCAAAACAACTTTGACCCAACAGAAAAAAGGGACCTCAGGGCTGGGGCTGTTCTACAGAGTCCAGTAATGGGATGCAGGCAGTAGATCTTCTGCATCCCCTGGGTGAATGGTTGGGCTTGTTGCTGGATGTCTTAGTTAATCTTAATGGGATATGGGATGAGGACCTCAGGAGTTTTGGAGGGTAGAATGACTCGAAATAATGCTGCGAAGGGTGCTTGGTCTCCAGTGTTGTCTATGCTGGGACATCAGAATCCAAAATTGTTAAAATAATCTATGTAATTAACTTCATTTGACAGTGGTATTCATTTTGTTGCTGATTGGCTCATCAGGAATATCCTCAGCTGAGACTATATGCCATGGAAAAAGACTATCTGGCTTAACAGACCTCTCTAACCCACGAGTCTTGCCACCCACCAGAATACAGACTTGGTTGTGTCATGTTCTTCTATTATCCCTGTAATCCTAAAGTTTGGTGTTATAATCTAATCTAATCAGTCATCAATTGAGGGTGTTGGTGTACTATATTGTTTGTTTTGTAAAAATTGTCTATAGTGAGGTTAAAGTGAGTTTGCAACTACTTTCAGAAATTTTATTTGGAAGGAAAAGTTGGTTTTGGTGAAAGAGGGAGTCCAAAGGTAGACATTGTCTCCTTTTGGCTCCCTTGACTTTTGTATTAGGTTTTGTAGAGTGACTGGGATGGTTTTGGGTTGTGGGTAGAAAGCTGCAATCCTCTGAGACTTTCAGACTTGACACTGGATACTGACCTCTTGTGGCTCTCATCAGGACTTCACCAAGATAGCTGTGACAAACCAGTGGCTGCTGGTAAGACATGGATTAACAACCATGCAAGTTTTATTTTATGCTAGCCCTTTTTGAACTGCTATACTTATTTGTGTACATGACTGTATTTAAAGGGTTGGTCATATTATTAAAAAGATTTACATGCCAGATAGTCAGTGTAGCTTCATGAAAACTGGTCTTTTTCTTTAAAGGCTCAATTAGTGGTACTCTATATGGACAAAAGAAGTGAGTCACATCTCTTAATTTTTTTTAATTCAGGGGTATAAAATTAAGCACCTAGTCATTCTGAAAGCCTTTAAACATTTTTGAGAGAAATGGGTCATTCTAAAGAGCTCACTTAATTGGTTCTCAGCATGGTACTGATATACCACCCTTCCAACATTTATTACCACTATTATTGTGGACTGTTGAGCTGCCTTGGCTTACCTTGGACATAAATTGATCTCTACTGTACTAACAACAAAGGAGCTTACCCTGTGCTCATGTTAGACTACCACTCTTTGTTCTTACTACTCAGAAACAGACCACTTACAGAAATGGACAAACTGTAACTAAGATGGTTACAGTCTGGCCAAAAGTGGCTGAGTCTACCCTCAAGTGCTGTTTTGCCAGTACTGATTGGAATCCGTATCATCACGAAGCTACCCAGGGTTCCCACACAGAAATAGAAGTATATTCCTCCTCAGTATAAAAAGTTGCATAGTCTGTCACAATATAGAACTTAATAGACGTATACCCAAATCAGAAAACTTTGAATAAAGTTTGGATAAAGGATGACGTTTGTCTCTTGCTGATAGACATACCTTGCATTTAGATTTGGCGGCACTCTAGCCCACAGATGCAAGTACAAAAGAGCACTGCAAAGCAAAACTATACATGACAAATTGATAATGCCCTCCTATAACACAATCGCCTACGGAGCCTGTGGCAAAGAATACGTGCAATAACTGATCACATGAGCACAGACAGTTCCCCTATTGTCCATAATGCTTCACTCCCTGTTGTATTAAACCATTTCTATGCCAATTTTGACAGACTCGATACAGAGACTCCCATCAAAACCCTGCCACCACCAGATGGCCATGTACCTCTGCCCTCTGAGGTCAGGTCCTCCCTAAACAGAGTGAGTTAACACAAAGCTGCTGGCCCTGACGGTATACCAAAACCCATGATCAGAGCATGTGGCAGTAAGCTGGCCGAGGTGTTTATTAACGTCTTTAACTTGTCCTCAAATGCTTACAAGTCGACGACCCTTATCCTATGCCTGAACGACTACCTCCCTATAGCCCTTACTCCTACTGTAATGAAGTACTCTGAGAGACTTGTGTTTACCCATATTAAAGCCACCATTACCACCACCATTCTCGACCATCATCTCTTTGCCTATCATTCCAGCAGGTTGATGGAGAGTACTGTCTTCACTGTACTATTTATTGGCTGCTGTGGCTCAGGAGGTACAGTGGGTTATGTACTAGTTAGAAGGGTGGTGGATCAGTTCTCCAGCTAGTTCAGTCTTGGGAAAGATCCTGAATCCCCAAGTTGTCCCCGATGTAGTCACCAGAGTGCGACTGTTAGAAAGTTAAACATTCGTAGATATAAAGGTGTTTTTTTTGTTTTTGTTTTGTTTTTTTAATTTAACCTCTGTTTAACTAGGAAGATCCCATTTTGATTAAAAACCCTTGAAACCTTTCAAGGGAGACCTGGCCAAGATTGGCAGCAGCAAGTATCATGCAGTTACAAAAATGTCACAATTAAACACACGCAACAACAACAAAACACACATACACAAAAATGCAAATAAAATTTAATTAAAATGACAAGCAATCTAATTGAAACAGTTGCATGTTATGGATTAAAAGCACTTAATGAAAAATAATTTTGTCATTTTCCAGTCATTCTGCAGCTCATTCCAAGCCAAGGGTGCTAAATGGACAAAAGCTCTTTTGCTAAGTTCAGTTTGCAAATGAAACAGAAAGCAACAAGTAATCTTGTGGATGAAGAGTATAACGACCAGCATGTTTGATTGCAAGGAGGGAACATATATAGAAGGCAGCAATCCAATTATTGCCTTACATATAAAGCTATATCAATAAGAGTTAAAGGTTCTATCAATGTGTGAGAGACTTGTGGTAAAAAGCTCAGAGTAAAAACGTGCTATAGAAGTAGAAGTAAATTTACTTCACTTTGCCCTTAAACACTACTTAATGATTATATGTCCGTACCATTACTACCTCTTTCCTTTCTAAGCTGGTCATGAAATTATTTCACCTTGTCCAGCAAATGCAGAGAAAACCCGGTTTTCATCAACTGCAGAAACTGAACAGGCAACAAGCTTTAAATTCCTTAATCTATGTCATTTTCTATAGATACACCTTCTGTCTGATACAAAAATGTCAATAATCCCTACACTTTCTGAGGAGGTTGAAAAATACCTTGGTAGCATCTCCTACTGCACTGTACAAAGCATTACAACATCTTGTATAACAGTGTGGTATGGTAACTAGGCGACCGTTGGTCAAAGGGCCCTGCAGTGGGTAGTAAAAGAAGCTGAGCACACTGTTAATAGTGTAACTGTCAGCAACTTGTCATCAAAGACATTTAAAAGTGTTGCATCCGACATGAGTGTAACTCTATCTCTGACCATATTTCTTAGTATTTTATCAAATGGACTCTATTAAACACACTTACATACACTATATTATACACAATGACTGAATCTGAAACTGTGATATACCACCACTTCAGCAATAACAGACTAGCAATAAGTTACTAATCCTATATTTTATATACATCTTATTCTATATTTTATTGTATGATATTGTAATGCATTTGAATTTCCCTTCTTTTTAAATCTTTTATCTTATTCTGTGTTTTATGTTACTTTGCTTTCTGCACAATAACATACAACAACATATTGCAAATTTCATTATACCGGCTATGCTTGTTACATGTGTAATAAAATGGTAAAGTCAACTGAATCAAACTTTTGGAGAGCAATGACATCCTCTGTGGTTGGAAATAATGACTGTTCAATGATCTACATTCTATAGAATCAGTTGTTTACAGGAATTTACAATAATTTTCATGATGTGTCGTAAATGATGATCTGTTGTCTGTTTAACTAAGTTTTAGTGACTCTGTTTTTGTATGCAAAGAAGTTAATGACCAGCTGTCCTTTCTTTGTAGCCCAAAGACTTGAAAGACTAAGAAAAGAACGACAGAACCAAATCAAATGCAAAAACATTCAGTGGAAAGAGCGGGCATCCTCCCAGTCAGGTACTGTTCCTAGTCATTTCTAAATACCTTTACTTTTTTAAATTGAACATTTTACAAACTTTGTAACACCATGTTTTCCAAACGTTGTTTTTGCTTGTCATTTATATCCCTTAATGTCATTCTGATTACGTAGTTTGCTGAGGATCTGCATGTTCAAATGATTTTGTCTAAAATATGACATCAAATATTCTGTTGCCACAGACCACTGACCACTACATTAGTAACATATACTGAAGCATTTATAGAAGAGTATGTTAACATTTTAAGTAATCAAAGACAAAAATCTGTATCATTGAACCTGAATCAGTAACTGAACCAGTGAAGTGAATGGCACTTCTATACAGTGGTGTGAAAAAGTGTTTACCTCTTTCCTGATTTCCATTTTTTTTGTATGTCACACTTAAATGTTTCAGATCATCAAACAAATAACACAACACAGATAACACAAGTAGACAAAATACAGTTTCTAAATGAATGTGTTTATGGCAGAGTTCTAAGACGAAAACCACTGCTGAGCAAAAGGAACATAAAGACTCGTCTCAGTTTTGCCAGAAAACATCGTGACATTCCCCAAGACCTTTGGCTAAGTGCTCTGTGGACTGACTAGACAAAAGTTGAACTTTTTGGAAGGTGTGTGTCCTATTACAGGGTGGTGGATCAAAAAGTCATACAGAATTTCAGAAAAGGAACTTCATACCAACAGTAAAATATCATGGTGATGTGATGGTCTTGGACTGTCTTGCTGCTTCAGGACCCATAAAACTTGCTGTGGTAAATGAACCATGAATTCTGCTCTCTACCAAAACATCCTGAAGGAGAATGTCTGGCTAATTGTTCCTGAACTCAGGCTGAAGCACAATTAGGTTCTGCAGCAGGACTATAATCTAAAACACAATAGCAAGTCCACCTTGCTGTTGTGAAGACTTTGGAGTGGCCTGATTCCAACTGAGATTCGGTGGCCATAAAAAGGTGGTTCATGCTCGAAAACCCTCCAGTGTGGCTTAATTACAACCATTCTGCAAAAATGAGTAAGCCAAAATTCCTCCAAATTGCTGGAAAAAAAAATCATTGTCAGTTATTGCAAACATTTGATTGCAGTTGTTGCTGCAAATGCTGTTGTTGTGTGGCCCAACCAGTTATTAGGTTTAGGGTGCAATAAGTTTTTCACACAGGGTCATGTAGGTTTGGAATTGTTCCCCGCTTAATAATAAAAACCTTCATTTAAAAACTGCATTTTGTGTTTACTTTGGTTATCTTTGTCTAAGATTGAAATTTGTTTGATGATCTGAAACATTTAAGTGTGACAAACATACAAAAAATAGGAAATCGGGAAATGGTCAGATGTTTTTTCACACTGTATCAACACAAGCTGCTTGATTAAAGTCTCCTGAAATTCTCAGCAAAACCTCTAAGATAATGTGTTTAGATTTAGACACAAAAGCTCTTTAGTTGACAAAACTCCATCAGTATACGTTAACTCTTTTTTTCTGTTTCTGTGTGTTCTGTCCAGTGGAAGATCTGGGGTCTCTGTTTGAAAAGCGCAACTTTAAAGACAGGCCGCAGACAACTGGTACAAAATCCACTTTGTCGCTGAGGCTTGAGCAGTGTCCCCAGCAGCTCAATAATCCCTTCAATGAATACTCTAAATTTGATGGCAAGGTGAATTATTCAACATTTTATTTAGGTTTATTTGGACATTAAATAATAGGATTTGAATCCAGTTTTGTAGAGTGGGAAAACCTTTGTCTTCAAATTGATTTTCTTCAAGAATTGATAAGCTTTTTCTTTGTATAGGTTTTTCCATATATCATGATAGTCAAGACAGTACTCAATTTTCACTCAATTCAGGGTGAAAATTTTGTTTCTAACTAAATAAGCAGTTATAAATTTTATTGACGTTATTACCCAAATAATCACAACACAGTTTCAATCTAATTGTGTATTTATTTCTCCTTTGGCATTTGATGGTAGAATGCCACAGTAGAAATAAATAATTTCATTTGTCTGGTAGGACTTATAGGATCAGCGTTGTGTTTTGAAGTCTGCCTCCAAGGCATATGGTGCTATCAAGCATTCTCAGCAGGTGAATCTGTGCAGCCACAAAATTGACAGACGTACGAACGTGCTTGTGCTAATGATCTAATCTGATGACAAAATGTACATCACTTTGACCCATGCTGACTCTAGCAGCCTTGTGGATGTGGAAACTATAACTTGCCTGTTAGTGTTTATTTGAAAAACGATAAGTTAATATTTGTCTACGTTTTGTCTGTTTATTCGATGTAATTTTTTTTTTTTACTGCACAATCCTCTCTTCACTTTTAGGGCCACATCGGCACCACAGCTACAAAAAAGATAGACGTCTACCTATCAATGCAAATGACTCAGGAGAAAGTACATCCAATGACAGTGGTGACCATTGCCAATGCCCGTGTCCATGACCTCATTGGACTTATCTGTTGGCAATACACAAGCGAGGGACGAGAACCCAAACTCAAGTGAGCACAAAATGGCTAAAGAAAATAAAACTGCTACATTTCACAGGATGTCTTTTTCTTTGTAACACACTTTTTCTGTCTCTCTATATCCAAATCCTTCCACCACCACATATCCAACAGTGAAAATGTGAATGCTTATTGCCTTCACATTGCTGAAGATGATGGCGAGGTAGACACTGACTTCCCTCCGCTAGACTCCAATGAGCCAATACACAAGTTTGGTTTCAGCACTCTGGCCTTGGTGGAGAAATACTCCTCCCCTGGCATCGCTTCCAGGCAGTCACTGTTTGTTAGAATGTAAGTATGAAATGAGTGATATATCACTTATAACAACAAATGGTGGAAAGCTGATAGAGTTGTCTAATTATAGATATTTACATAAGTCTTGCTAGGACTAAGATAATGATTTCCATCTATGAATAAAACTACAAAACGCACAAAAAAAAGCACAAAATGACATAAACAACCAGTTTGGCTCTGTAGGTTCACAGTTATCCAGGTCATGGTAGCCTTAAGAGCTAAACAGGAAGGCAACTCGACTTTAAGCTTGTTTTTTTTTGTTTGTTTGTTTTTGTTTTTGTGAAGATGATTCACCTCTCAAACAAGAGGTTTCTTCAGTTTTAAAAGTTGACAGCCAATGTATTTAAACAGTAGTTGGGTTGTCCCATAGGAGGTGATTATTGACCCACTATTAATCATGTGCATAATCACATAAGTTGTGAAAAAAGGCATGGGTCATTAGCATCAGGATTTTGGGTAAAACCACTGTGAGACCTTGTCTTGTCCTGTCATGTGACCTATCAAGGTCACCTAACGCAACTTGAGTTTAGAACAACGGTTAACGGTTAGACTGCATTCCCCTTTTTAGCTGGTTGCATGGTGATGTTTTGTTCTTTATTTAGAGATTTAATGGCCTTTTCTTCAATTGTGATGTTGGATGGAGATGGTCTTGCACTGGAGAGGATAGCTGAAAGCTTCATCCTGATTTCCTCCGGTTGTTAGCAACAGAAACAACAATAAGCATTATTAAACTATGAGGAGATTCACTATGGGCAGCTGCTGTGGAGTTATGGTAGAAATGAGACCTTTAGCTAGCACATCCTTTTCAGGATTCACAGTAAAAAGAACCCACTCCTTATCATACAAAATGACTACACTCCTTAGTGACAGCAATATTTATGAAGTCTTAAGATGAGACACCACAAGCAACTTAAAAAAAAAGAAGAAAATAATCAGTTGGCTACAACAGCCTGAAAGGGAAAAAGCCATTGTCTACATTTGCCCCATCAATGCTATACCCTGTACATATGGACTTCCGAAGATCCACAAAGGAGTCGCACATCTTGCGTTAGGTGATCTCAGTAGGTCAGAAGATAGGGTGAGGCAAGGTCTCACAATGGTTTCATGCAAAACCTCTGGTGATAAGGGGTGATAGGAGGTAGTTAAACCGTTGCCTAAAAAGCCATCACCTGACCCTACTGTTATTGTGCCAAATCCACTTAGCCAAAAAAATGGATTGGACATCAATTGTAGAAACGATAGTCTTTATATAAGGCTTCAAAAAGGGGAATGTACAACAAATAAACTTCTCGACATCAAAGCAACATATAATGGCTTCCCGAAACTTTCTTTGCTAGCTAAAACCCAGAGTAACTTTCGTCTACCACAAAGGATTCTGGGAAACGCAGTTTTCTGATGAAAATACCTGTTAAATGCTCCCCTTTAGCAGAAAATTAAATCTATAATTAACAGCACTCACTAAACATGTGGCTAACACTTAAATCACTTACAAAATAACCAAAATGCTGTTATCAAACAATAAACTGTAATAAAGTTACAACAACTGTCTTAGCTAATTATAGGCAAATTTCCAATCTTCTTTCTGTCTAAAAAAATTCTTGAAAGAGTAGTTGTAAAACAGCTAAGTGATCATCTACAGAAAAATGGTTTATTTGAAGAGATTCAGTCAGCTTTCAGAGCTCATCATAATACAGAAACAGCTTTGGTGAAGGTTACAAATGATCTTTTTATGGCCTCTGACAGTGGACTCATCTGTGTTTGTTCTGCTAGACCTCAGTGCAGCATTCAATACTGTTGACCATAATAATGTATCACAGCAATTAGAGCATGCTGTAGGTATTAAAGGTACTTCAGCAGTTTGAATCATATCATATCTAATAGACTAATTTGTTTATGTAAACAGGAAGTCCTCTTCACACACTAAAGTTAATTATGGAGTTCCACAGGGTTCTGTGCTAGGACTAATTCCGTTTACATTATGCATGCTTCCCTTTGGCAGTATCATTAAAAGATATCCAACTTGAAGGAATGGCTTAAAGATCTGAGGACCTGGATAACCATAAATTTTCTTTTCACAAATTTATATAAGACTGAGGTTATTGTACTTGGCCCTAAAAGTCTTTGAAATATAGTATCTAACCAGATGCCGACTCTGGATGGCATTACCTCAGCCTCGAGCAACACTGTGAGGAATCTTAGACCCTTTTTTTTTT